CTGCTGAGCAGGGAGCCCGATGTGGGACTCGATCCCGGGACTCCAGGATCATGACCTGAGCCGAAGGCAGTCGCTTAACCAACTGAGCCACCCAGGCGCCTGAGCTAAGAATGGTTTTTACATTATTTAAAGGTAAAGGGGAAAAAAGAAGGCCAAAGAATATGCTGCAGAGATCATACAAGGCCCACAAAACCTAAACTATTTACTACCTAGCCCTTTACAGAAAAAAATTTGCTGACCGTGGTTAGGAACCCACCATGCAGTGGGATAGCTGCGTTGCAATGATGTAAGTTTTCACCGGTGGTCAGTTACGATGGGGACACGGCAGAGAGCCAGGCACCGAGGGACCAAGAAGATGCAGGACTGCAGGGGGCCACGACAGTAATGATGCCAATCACAGAGAAGGGCGGCTCCCTGTGTGCGTTCTGGAGACCTCAAAAAACAAATGATAGGCTTGCGACAGTTCAGTGCCCAACTCAGACAGGGTCTGCAAGCCCGAGGCCTCTATGGCAGCTCAGCAAATTCCCATCTTCTGCAGCCGCTAGGGAGACTATCGGAACCCAGGCGAGACTCTGATTACAAGGCTCACAGAGCTACAAAGCAGACCCCAAGCCACAGCCTTGACAGGTCCCCTGTACAAGGTCAGCAGTCGGACGGGGAATGATCCTGGACCATGGATGTGGGCAACTGGAGAGATGAGCTGAGGATTTCAAAAGCCCCAGGTTCCCAGGAGCCTCCTAGTTGGCAGAAGCAGTGCCTCCTACCTTGCCGGAGAACAGATTGTCCTTGCTAGACGCCTCACCTGGAGCAGGTGCCTTGCAAAATGATGCTTGTTCTCAAGACTTGCCCTCCGCCCCGCCCACCCCCCCACCCCGCCTTTGATTCTAGGCCTATAAAGAAGGTCGTGTGTTAGCAGAGCTAGAGGAGAATTCACGGCCTAGGGGCACTCATCTGTCATTTAGAACTTGGTGTTTTGCCAGGACACCAGGAACTGGTTCTAATCATTTCTCGGGATGACTCCAGCCAGTGTGCTAGTAAAAGTTTAACAGCTGACTCTCTGAAGGGGAAAAATTTTGTAGCATTTGCCAGTTTTTATGGTGTAAATACCCACACTGTGGCCAATTTCACGCTACCAACGTGACTCTGTTAGGAAAGAGGCAATGCCTACAAGGACCAAGTGCGTGAAGAGAGGGGCCCACCTCGCCTCCGCCTGGGCCCAGTCTGACATGGCCAACAGCCTTGCTTTAGAAAACAGTTCGGGTTTGCTCAGTTACAAGGAGAGGTGGGTCTCCCAAAGTTCAACCCCTACAAGACCGTTGTTCCAGACTACTTAGGTGATTTGAAAAGGGGCTGTTGTTAGAAAATAATCTCATTAAAGTTTTCACTGCCAACAGTATTTCTGAGTCATGGAGACCTCCAGCTTCCTGTGTGAGGAACCCACTGTCAGTCAGTCCGGGGAGGGTTTCGGACAGCGGCTCTCGAGACAATATTTGTGGCAGAAACAGACCGGTCCTCAGACAAGGTGCTCCTGCTCCCGTGGCCTTAAAATCTGCCGTCAGCAGAATGGAGGCTACTCAAGTCTCTGACCCCTGGGTGAGGGTCCCGCTCACCCAAGTGTTGGGATAAGTCATCAGGGTTCCAGTGAGGGGCTGACAGGCATCCCTGTTTCATCCTTCCGGAATGATCTGGCCCTCCAGACATTTCCAGTCAGCCCGCCTCTCACTGTCCGAGCCTGGAGAGCCAGAAGTCTGGGCAGACCTTGGCTTTCCAGCCCCAAACCGGGATCAGAAGCCAGGAAGAGGTCATGGAAAGTCTCAGTTCCTAACAGCTTGTTCTGCGGTGGCCGGGAGGGTAAGCTCAGCCAGCAGCTGCGCCCGAGTCCCCCCACCCTTGATGTGGAATATCAGCCCCAGCAATCCAATTAATGAGAAGAAAATTCATGAGAAGAAAATGGACCTCCCTTGTAGATGAGGTGCATAACCTGACAGTCTCTGTTTTTAGGGGAGTGTGTTTGTGGGAATATGTGTGTAACAGAAAAACAAAAAGGAACATCAGAACCCTCACAGTGACTTTTCTCTGGGCTGTGGAACATGAATGACATGAGTTTTGTTGTTTCTATTTTTCAGTGCCCTTCATACAGTTCATAATGAGGACTTAGTATGTTACATATATTTGAATATGTGAGCTATAAGTTCTGTCTAACCTGGGGGCACCTGGGTGGCTCAGTCATTAAGTGTCTGCCTTCAGCTCAGGTCATGATCTCGGGGTCCTTGGATCGAGCCCCGCATCGGGCTCCCTGCTCCGCGGGGAGCCTGCTTCTCCCTCTCCCACTCCCCCTGCTTGTGTTCCTGCTCTCGCTATCTCTCTCTCTCTGTCAAATAAATAAATAAAATCTTAAAAAAAAAAAGCTCTGTCTAACCTGCACTTATATATTATAATAAGCATTTTACAATTAGAAAACAATAGCTTTAAATTCTGTAAACTACTAAGTATAAAATAAAAAATTAACTTTGAATAGGATGTTTAGTATCTGATGAGACTGGCTTGCTCTGTGATCGGGGCTATATTAACAGAGACGGAGAACAAGGACCCGAGCGGTGAAAAAGCAAAAGCACTGGATTTTTCTCACTGCAAAGTTATTATTTCTGTCTGACTTCTCTTCATTTCCCAGGTTTTGTCTTCAACAATCAGGTAAATAGGAGTTGCATGCTATTTTGAACAACCACCGCTGGGGATTTACCATGCTTATATTTATTGTCCAGATCTTTGCAAAAATACGAACAACTGAAATAGTCTACAGAGCAAAAGTCAGACGGCGAAACAAGGAACAAACTGCAGAAAACAGCCTGATGATGCATGGTGGACACAGCTGTGAGCTCTCGGGGGTGGAGATGCACCACGGGATTGAACATACTGGATATTTGGAGGCTTTTAGGAGTCACGGCAAGACACAGATGCTACAAAGGTAAAAAGATAAAATGATGGGCATGGATATACCTGTGAAGCCAAAATAAAGTCGACACAGCGATATTGGGAAAGACGGAGCAGAATTTGTGTATTTTGGGGTATGTATCTTATGTGTACAACCATATAAAATGTACACACCAAGGGAGGACACTGGGAGGGAAGACGTAAAAGTGATTTATTTCTGTTGGGGCGGATGCAATGAAAGTGTTGTCCAAGCTCTGTTTCGCTGGTACAAATGATCCAGGGTACAGGTTGTTAACTCCTGTGCTCTCTTTCTCACGTGGATTTAGATGCAAACCAACAGCCTCCTAAGGGTGTCTGTTTAAAGGCCTTGCGTGCGTCGTAAGTGGGATTTCAGGCCGCCACTGAGTAGGGATTTGGTGTGGGCAGTGTGGCGGAGACCCTGGCTGGGCGGGTGGGCTCCCTCTGCCCCACCCGGACCTGGACCCTTTGCAGGGGCTTCATCCTCTGACGCCCACAGGCCCCGGGCTTGAATGAGGCCGAAACAGCGCCGCCAGGCAGCACTGGGTGGGGGATGCTTACTGTGGAGGCGGTCACCTGATGAGAAAAGTCTGCCCCTCTCCCAGTGCCTGAGACGGGGACACTGTGTACCCTTGCCTCCCACTCTGGACCCCAGCTTCTGTCCTTGTCCTCCTCTCTGTCCTCGCTCAGGACTCTGGACTTCCAAAACTCAGAACTCATCATCCAGTGGCCCCTTTGAGGCAACTTTTGATGGCATCCATGCCAAGATAATGGAGGCTCTTTAATTCTTAGGGACTAAACTTGGGCTCTAGGTTTAGAAGTGTTCTCCAAATCTGTTTGAAATTCACTGAAAATAAGATTATTTCCCCCTTTTCCAAGGATGAGCTTCACCTCATCCTATCCAGGGGTGTTTTTTTTTTCTTAACCCTTTGATTCCCATGGCTCCCTCTCCTCAATATTCAGGTCATCAAGATTTCAGGCCACATTGATGTAACTCCAGAGATGAGCTGCCCTTGAAGGTGCTTTTTGCGGACCTGTCCCTGGTGGCTCTGGGCCTCCAGCTGCATGGGCCTGTGTGAGTGTGCGGTGTGTGTGTATGTGTGCTGTGGGTGTGTGTATGTGTGAGGATGCCTATCGCCGGGGACCAACATCTTTCATCAGCATCAAAAGATTGACCCATTTTCAGTAACCACCTTCTTGCGGCCCGTGAAGCCTTTATTCGGTTTGTACGGGAGACCTAAAATGTGTCTCCAGTGGAGCCCGGTTGTGTTTAAGAGACATGGTGTGAGCTTAGCAGGTGGGAGAGGAACCTCAGCCCTGGCTCTTCTGTCGAATCCCACCTCCTTTCTTTCTGGAAAATTTCGAAGACTCTTGTTTCCTTTTTCTCAGTTACAGCTGAAGCCTGTCTTCAGACGCAAAGTCCACAGTGGACAGTGGGAATACCCTGAAAGCATAGTCCCTGGTTCCTAACTGGGATTCAGAGCTGGCTGTCGGGCCCCATGCAGGCTCCGAGTCAGCTCTTGCGCGCAGCCAAGCCCATGTTCCCAAAGAGAGCTTCAGGCAAAGACAAGCCTCGCGCACTCAGCATTTGTCGAGAGCCTACTAAGTCCCAGCAAGTTGAATTGTTTTGGGTTTGTTTGTAAAATGTCATTGCACTTGCAATAAAAACAATTGCTTTGATCTCAAAATGTTCCATGCTCCTCTTGCAGGTGGACGCCTGAGTCTCCGGGGTGGGCCTGCCTCATTTAGTGGCCACACTCCATGATGTAGCCCCCCTTTCTTCCAGACTCTGGCATTATGCCTCGTATTACCTGTCTTATATTTATCGTAATTGTTGGGCACTTATAAAATTTATCTATTCGGATTGAACAAAGTGAATGTTAAGAGACCTAAGGTCGAAATTATTAGCTAAATATTGCCTTTCTGAAGAAGCACATCATGCCGGTGACTCTGTCTCAGTAAGGACCCAGAAATGGGGAAGTTCTCCGTCTTGCAGGGTCATTGAAAGGGAAATGTTCTAATCAGTTAAGAGCCAGTACCTTCGAGGTAGTCACATATGGTTGCTGAGAGCTGACCCTGGAGCGAACCCCAGCCCAGTCCTGCCGTTGACTAGTGGCCCCATGCTGGATAAATTCTTGAGCCTCAGTGTTCTCTTCTGTAAAATAGGGTGAAGAATGGAACTATCCTGAGGAATGCTATTAATTAATTAATTAATTATTATTATTTAAATACTTTATTTATTTGAGAGCGAGAGGGCATGCCTGAGCGGGGGAAGGGCAGAAGGAGAAGCAGGCTCCCCGCTGAGCAGGGAGCCCAACGTGGAGCTGGATCCCAGGAGCCTGAGATTATGATCTGAGCCCAAGGCAGATACTTGACCAACTGAGCCACCAAGGTGCCCCTTATTATTATTATTATTTTTTAAAGATTTAATTTATTTATTCCAAGGAGAGAGAGCGAGAGCATGGGTGGAGGTGGTGGGTGGGCGGGGGGAGGAGCAGAGGGAGAGGGTCAAAGAGCTGGACCCTGGGCTGGGTCTCACAACCCGGAGATCATGACCTGAGCCGAGGCCAAGAGTCGGATGCTTAACCAACGGAGCCACCCAGGAACCCCCTCTGAGAGTTTTTCTTTAAATTTAATTTAATTTTATTTCCATTCAATTAATTACCATATAGTGTATTATTAGTTTCAGAGGTAGAGGTCAGTGATTCATCAGTTGCATACAACACCCAGTGCTCATTCCATCCCGTTCCCTCCTGAATGCTCGTCACCCAGTTACCCCGTCTCCCCCGACCTCCTCCCCTCCAGCAACCTGAAGGTTGTTTTTTAAAAATTAAAATGTGTAACTGTGGCAAAATACACGTAACGGAGAAGCTACCGTCACACTTGTTTTTGAGTGTACAGCTCCGTAGTGCTAAGTACATTCACCTTGTTGTGCAAGCCATCTCCAGGACCATTTCCATCGTGTAAGACCCAAACCCTGCCCGCTGAACACTAACTCCCCGTCGCCTCAGCTCCTGCAGACTCTTCTGCCTCTGTCACTTCGACCGCTCTGGGGACGTACACCAGTGGAATCCTACAGTATTTGCCTGTGTGGGACCAGCGTGTCTCACTCGGCACGATGTCCTCAAGGCTCATCCGTGTTGTAACACGAGGTGCAGCCCTCGCCCCTTCTGCACCGCGTCCCTCAAGGCTGCACCCCTGGCCCACACTCCCTCCTCTCCCTTTCCCTTTGCCCATCAGGTTGGTCTCTGATCCCCCCAAGCTTCCCTGAGTTGAGAATTGGAGCCCCATTGCCCCCACAATTGATTTTGGGTCTGGCCCTCAGCTATTTCTGACCTTCGCCTGCAGGAGACGAGTCTCCCTGCAGGCTGCCAGGGAGGCCCCGGCTCTCACCCTCAGCCTCCCCTGGGCCTCCGTGGATTCGTGCGCTGCCCCAGCAACCCTACCACGGCCGTCTGAGCCCCGGGTCCTCCGGCGGGCCTGCGTGGCGCCCCCTGCTGGACGGCCGTGTGACTGCAGCTCCAGGACCCTGGGGACTTCAGGTCCGCTGTGAGAGTGTTGGGGGGGGATCCAATTCCCAAACCTCAGGTTAGGGGCTGCCTCCTCAGGCGCTTCCGAAAGCACCTCTCTGAGCTGGAGGTCCCCGGGAATGTGGGTTTGCACCCCCACCTCGTCAGCCCTCCAACGTGGAGCAGCCGGCGAGGCAGGCCCCTTGCCGGTGTCCCCGCAGGAGCTTAGCCGTGAGCCGACAGGGACCCATACCCGTCGTGGAGTGGGCCTCGGTCCCGAGGGGCCTCCGGCGGCCGGCCGCATCCGCCACACTGGTCTAAGACTTCCTCCCTGGGGCTCTCGTGGCCGTGTTCCTCGTGGGCCCTGAGACCGCGGGACGGGCTCCCTCGTCCCGGAGCCCGCGTCCTCGTGGGGAGGAGACGCTGCACAGCCAGGCACACCATTCTCAGTCCATCGTGGCCGGGGGGGAGCCGGACCGAGGCCTGCGAGGCGCAGGTCCACGGGCCCCTGGGGAGGGGCCCACGCGAGGTGGGGGGAGTCAGCCACAGGGCAGCAGGTTGGGGTAGTTCAGGTGGGACTGTCCGTTTTCACGTAATTCCAAAGGAAGCTGTGCTCTTGGACTCCTCCCTGAGGCCTGGCTGGTGTGGGAAGGGGCGCTCGCAGGAGGGGCTGGGCGCCCGGAGGGGCTGGGCGCCCGGAGGTGGCGCGAGCGCTCCCGGCTACGTGGAGCTTCCTCCGGACTTGGGATCCCTCCGCCCCTGGGATCCCTCCGCCCCTGCTCTTGTCCGCTGGCGGAAAGCGCCCAGTCCACACGTGGGCCTTGTCCTCACTTGCTTTTGGAAAAAGCACGTCGTGACTGACTTTGGACGCTAGTTAACCACACTTTGGTGGAAGGGGCTCGCTTGGGACTCTGAACAGCAGAGGATCCTTGCCCTTTGTCTGAGAACCAGCCTCCTGCGCAAACAGGATGAAAGCCATGGTGCGCGCTCCAGGAACCTCCATCAAGCAATTGTTCTGCTGTGTTTTCAGGGATTCAGGGGCCTTCCTGCAGACCCTCAGGCCCTGGGAGACCCGTTCAAGGGAACCCTTGGAATGGGGCTCTGCCCTCGTGCTCTGGGGGGGATTGCTCTGAGTGCTCGCTATTATGGACAGTTCCAGGAAGAGATGTTCAAGCTTATGTAGTTCACATCCTTCACTATCTGGGTGAAGTAAGTGAGGACCGAAGAGGGCGGAACCCACCCAGTTTGCACGGCTGGCTACAGGTAAAGGCCGCTCCAGGTGCCGGCTAATTCCAGAAGGGCCTTCACCATAGCAACTACACAGGTGAACTTCAGTCTTGTCAATGACCCTGTTAGAAGCAGCATACACAAATGGGTAAAAATGGGCACCTGGGACACAGTTTACCAACACGGTTTATCAATACCATGGTTTTCCCTAGGTTCGGGGGGTCTCCTCTGACAACTTTTAACTTTTGTTTTTGATTTAAAAGTTCTTATTGGGGGGCGCCTGGGTGGCTCAGTCGTTAAGTGTCTGCCTTCGGCTCCGGTCATGATCCCAGGGTCCTGGGATCGAGCCCCACATTGGGCTCCCTCCTCAGCGGGAAGCCTGCTTCTCCCTCTCCCACTCCCCCTGCTTGTGTTCCTGCTCTCGCTATCTCTCTCTCTCTGTCAAATAAATAAATAAAATCTTTAAAAAAATAAAAATAAATAAAAGTTCTTATTGGGGCACCTGGGTGGCTTAGATGGTTAAGCATCTGCCTTCGGCTGAGGTCGTGATCTCCAGGTCCTGGGATGGAGCCCCAAGTCAGGCTCCCTGCTCAGTGGTGAGTCTGCTTCTGTCTCTCCCCCCACCCCCTACTCACGGTCTCTCTCTCAAATGAATAAATAAAATCCTTTAAAAAAATACATAAAAGTTCTTATTTATTGAGAAATAAATCTAAATTACAAGGAGGTATAAAGAAGCAGAAGAAATGTCCCATTATCCCAATTCCCCGATAGTCTCTGAAATCTTGAAATTGCTGGATATATTTACACACACACACACACACACACACACAGATTCACACTCACACACGTAGACATTTAACATTGCTGAGATCCCATTTTTTACATAACATTAGAGTTTGATTTTTTCATTTGAAATTATGGTATAAACAAACCATATTATTAAAAGCCCTTTGGAAAGAGCAGTTTTAGTAAGAGCATAGTCTGTTCAACATCCAGTAAATGGTTATTGAATGCCTGCATGTGTCTAACAATGTTGAAGGCATAAGGGACTTGCGGGTGAGCAAATCAACCAGGCCCCTCTACTCGTAGAACTCCCTTTCTGGGGGTAATCGGGGTGGGGAAAGAGAAAACAAAAGGGCAGATAGGGATAAAAAAATGACTTTCACAGAGTGGTAAGTACTTTAAAGGAAATAAGGTAAGATGACAGGCTGGGGAATTCAGATATAGTCTATTTTTGATATTTCTGAGAGGTCACATGTGAGCTGAGACCCAAATAATAGCAAGTTTCCAGCCATATGAAGATCTGGGCGATAAGTGTTACTCTTATTCAGTTAAAGGGACCAGCAAGTGCAAAGGTCCTGAGGCAGAAATGATCTTAGCAAGCTTAGGAAGAAGGTTGTGTCTTCTTTTAGTCCAGGCTCAGCTGGAGAGGAGGGAACAAGGTCTTGCACGCCCGGCCCCTCAGGCTTCACACCATGGTGCCAGTCACCTTCCAGCTTAGCCAGGGCAGCACACAGCAAGGCACTTGACTGGCCCCCCAAACTGGTGCCTTCCTTTCTGAGCCTGTCAGGGAGTTCAGTCTTGGATCCAGGGCTGGTGAGGCTGTGTCCAGGCTCTGGGCCACTTCTCCTTTCACCCAGTCCTTCCCACAGGCTGACCCACATCCTGGGCTCTTCCCCCCCACCCCCTCGCCCGGGGCCTTTGTCTCTGGGAATGTTTGCCTCTCAGGGGAGGAGAGGCAGGGTCTGGAAGCCCCTTGCTTTGTGGAGCTCTCTCTCATGGGGTGAGTCATGGCCTCTGTCATCTCCTTCATTCATGTGGAAATTGCTTATTTCAAGTGCATCTCCTGCCAGCTTTTTATGTCTCAAACGTTCTCTCTACTGTGATTTTCTATAGTTACGTAATCACTTGTCTGTTTTCACGAATGACTCTTTTTACGTTCTCTTTTCCTCTAATCCTTACATGACCCTGAGGTGCTCTGGGTAATTCAGCTACCCGCCCCCACACCGCCAGCCACCTGAACTGGAGACTCCCTACTGGCCTCTGGGCCCCTCCTGCTCCCCATTCTCCTGAGGTGGTTCCACGTCTCTTTCTTGGAGTCTGGAATCCTTAGCTGGGTCTTGTCCGCCCTGCTTCCCCAGGGCCTTGCACCCCTGCCCCAGTTGGTCTCTGTGTGGAGGGCGTGCCTAGGGGCAGTAGGAGGCCTCAGGAGGATGCACTATGTGATGGGGAGCATGTTCCTTTCCAGAGGCTGCCACACGCACTCCGTGGCCTGCTTCCCTCAGACAGGCCCTCAGTAGGGTCTGGTGACTCTGCTTCCTTGTCCCAGATCCTCTCAGAGACCCTCTCTCATGGCCCTTGGTCCCAAAGACAGGAGCAAGGCCTGTGCCTGCAGGCCTGCATAGGGCCTCCTTGGCCTACAGGGCTCCCCTACTTTCCACAAACTGTGGGAGAAACCAGAATCAGGCTTCCCCCTCGTGGGGCACTGGCTGGGATCCTCAGTGGACCTTCGGGGGCCAGAGAGCTCTCTGCGGCCACACCCCCTGTCCTCACTGCTCTGGGTGACTGACCAGTCATAGACAAGCAATGCATTGCTGGTCACGGCTGTCCCATGGCCCCAGGCCCAGAGGAGGATTCTGTCTAGTGTGAACTTTGGAAGAACGGGGCTAGGTAGTGTCTGCTGGGAAGGCAGGGCACCTGAGGTCAGAGACCAGGATCAGTGACCTCCCTGAGTTCAACCCCCTCCACCCTTACTCAGGTCCACCCAGCCAGTGTTCAGAGTTCAGAGGTGGGTGCTCCTCATAGGGGCCTCTGGGCTCCCAGCTCAGCCACGGTGGGCAGATCAGGGAAGACGTCTGGGTCAGGACACTTTAGCTCTCAGACACCACAGCATCCTCTGTATGTGGTGCGGCCCCCGAAGGGCTCTACCTGCCCATCCTGTGAGAATGACATCCCACCCCCTCTCTCCCTAGCACCCGGAGGGCAGCAAGCTGGTGCAGCTTTGCCTAAAGGCTTAGTCACTTTGGAGCTGTGGGCCAGCCTTCATGAACTAAAGGCCCAGCCCTGAAGAAGGACACAGTCTCACTATGGCCTACGCCCCTATTTAGAAGACTCCCAGGGAAGCCGGAGGGGGGCCAGGCAGTGGCAGGGAAGGGAGGCTACCATTGTTCTCCATGTGAATATGAAGTATTAGTTTCAGTGTGGACAACCATGTTCAGAAATGACGAAACAGTTGGGAAACTATTTCATTCTTCTTCATGGAATTTGATGAACTGTTTGAAAACATTCGTTCTCGGGAAGCAGGACGTGTGTGTGTGTGTGTGATAAAGATAAATATGTGGACAATCAGGAGAACAATGGAGATCTGGGAGCCCCAGAAGGAGCCTGAGTCACAGTGTCCCCCATCACCCTGGACTGTTCCAAGGGATTGAACTGTCCTGCCCCTGCCTTGGGATGAGTCTGGAATGGAGCACCCAGTGCCGAAAGAGAGGGGGTAGTTGGGGAGATACATATGTAGGTGGTGGAGTTTCTAGAAAGTCAGGAAGATTTGACAAGCAGGGGTCAGAGGATGGAGGTGCTGTGGCCAAGGTGGTAGACCTGGAAGCTGGGGAGTAGGGCTAGTACCTCAGATCCACCCAGGAGGGAACATGTCTGAGGGTGAAATCTGCTGGGTGCTTTTTCCCCCTGGACCACGGAATAGCTCTATCCAGTGAATGTTGCCAAATTCCTTCCCTTCTGGGTCATCATTCTCTTAGGTGGCTCCTAACTTCTCAGTAAAGTCTCGGACAGGCAGCCTGCTTGCGTGGTGAAGTGTGGGCAGAAGCCAGGTCGGTGCTGCTGGAGGGAGATGAGCTCTGGTGGCTCGCCTGGCCTCTGTCCGGGTGACCACAGCTCATGTGGTCCTGGATGCAGCTAGCTGCAGGGACAGTGATGTTCCCTGGAGCAGTGGACAGCAGAGGACAGTATGGATGGTGCTTACTAGAAGGTACATAGTTTTCCATGAAGTCCCCAGCACCTAGACAGTGCTGAGCACTGTTAACCTTAAAAATAAAACTGTCAGTTATTTTATCAGCAAAAATGGGTTTATTCTGGAATAGCAGAGAGTTCAGGGACAAGCACGCTACAGCAAAACCATAGGCAAGTCCCCAGAACAAAGGAGAGAAATTCTCTTTTATAGAGGAAAGAGAGAGTTGGGAGGGCGGTTACAAACAAAAAGTCCATGGAAGGAAACGGGGAATTGGAAGTGGCTTCTCGTGGGCTGAGCTGTGACTGTCTCTCATTGGCTGGTCTGTTGCCAACTTTTCTTCCTGTGCCTGGGATGGTAAGATAGTATCCATGTGTAAGGTCCTTCTGTTCCTGTTGGATCTGCAATTGATAACCAGTGCTGGGAATGAGAGCTCCTCCTGCTGGCCTCCTGATTCTATATGGTAAACCATGTTTCCTTTTATTAATTTTCACAGCACACAGCAGTGATTCATTGAATGTCCGGATACGTCTTTATGACTATCTTCACCGAATACATATGAATATCCAATGAGTACATGAAAAGAGTTCAAAATCACAAATCACTAGAGAAATGCAAATTAAAACCATAATAAGATATTATACCACGACTAGAATGACTGAAGTTAAAAAGACTGAAAAAAAAAAAAAAAAAAAGACTGACCCATCACATCTTGGCAGGAATATGAAGCAACTAGAAATCACATACATTGCTGGTGGGAATGAAAGATGATGCCACCAGTTTGAAAACGTGGTAGCATCTTGTAAAGTTAAACATATTCTTAACATACAACCCAGAAAAGCCACTCCTGGATATTTATCCAAGAGAAAGTGAGTAAGGGACAGGTGGGGCTAGGTAGGGAGAGAGAGGGAGGGGGGTACAAGACCAGGCTCACAGAAATCCCAGATGTGGAAAAGTGCTGAGGCGTAAGAAACCAGAGATGAGAGAACATAACCAGACCACTTCCTTTGTCTCAAATGTCAGAGACGAGATATTGTTATGACAGTTACAGACTGACCATTAAAAGCTACGAAACTTCAAAGGAGAGGTAAACATGGTGCTATCAGTGGTAGAAACGTCAAGAAGATTTCAGTTCCCTGGTCAGTTTTCAATAAAAGACCGACCATAAAATCCCTCAGTGGCAACCCACTCGGGACCCCTCTCACTCTAGAGAGTTTTCTTTTCTGTTCTTACCTTCACTTAATAAGCTTTCACTTCACTTCACCTTTTTGTGTCCGAGAGATTCATTCTTCGGCTCTGTGAGACAAGAACCTTGCAACTGCAACAAAAGGAAAACTATGTTGGCATAGATCTGTATGTGAATGCTCTCAGCAGCATTATTCATGGGTAATCAAAACTCAAAAGAAATCCAAGTATCGATAAACTGGTGAATGGATAAACAAATTGTATTATGAAACACTACTCAGCTACAGAAAGGAATGACATATTAATGTATGTAGCACCATGGATGAATTTCAAAATCTTTATAAGAGAAAGAATTAAACCCAAAAGACTATGTAGTGTATGATTCCATTTATATGAAACTCTGGAAAAGGTAAAATAATAATGACGGAAAGCGGATCAGTGGTTGCCTGGGGCTAGGGGGAAGGAGGAGACAGATTGCAAATGAGTAGGAGGAAATATTTTAGGGAGCATGAACTGCTCTATATCTTGGTTGTGGTGGCAGTAACATAAATGCATCAACCAGTATCCTTAAAAAAGGTGAGGCTTATCGCATATAAATAATAATCAAATATAAATTTTAAGTTTAAAAACCCCCACAGCTAGATAGATACATCATGGGCAAATTTATAAAAACCAATGATAAGAAAATCTTGATACATACAGATACAGATACAACCAGATACATAGAACAAAGGACTAGAGCAGACTTCCCTTCGGAAACTATGTAATCCGGAAGCGGTGGAGTAAAATCTGTAAAGTACCGAAAGAAAGAAAAAAGTTAACCCAGGCTTGCATACTCCATGAGACAATCTTTCAAACGTGAAGTTGAAATAAACACTTTCAGACAAAGGAAAGGTGACAGCACTCATCACCAGCTGACCTTGGCTAAAAGAAAGGAAGTTCTTCAGACAGAGGAACATGATGCCACGTGGAAATTTGAGTCTATGCAAAGAATGAAGAGCACTGAAAACGGTAAAAATAAATGTAAATAAAAGTTATAAAGATACAATTACCAGAGCGAAATGGATGAAAGGGGTCAAAAGGTGCAAATTTCCAGTTATAAAGTAAGTAAGTCATGGGGAGATGAGGTACAGCATGGTGACTATAGTTAACAATATTGTGTTACATATTTGAAAGTTGCTAAGAGTACACCTTGAAAGTTCTCATTACAATAAAAACTCCTTGTAACTATGGTGGTGGATGTTAACTCGACTTATTGTGGTCATCATTTTGCAATATATACAAATATCAAATAATTATGTCGTACACTTGAAGCTGATGTTCCATACATCAATTATTTGTCAATAAAAAAAGACTTAAAAATGCAGGGGCAATCAGCATCTTTTTATAAAAAAAGAACCAAAAACAGGTCACAGAGCTTCCAAATTGCTGGAAGGATTTCTGCAGTGAGCCGGGGCACGGTGGGTGGAAGACAGCTGGACGGAATCACGGACACCTGGTAGAAGAATAAGGGCGTGGCTTGGTCCCGGTTGCCAGGCGCGGGCAGGACGTTTGGTCCAGACCTCTCGCAGCCAGCGCCGCGGCGCGTCCGTTGCTAAGGCCGCGCCGCCCTGGCGACGGGCGCC